TGGTTACGAAGCACGCACAGCTCTGGGTGTTGCGAGCTCACTATCAAGAATACATCGAGGTCTAAAATGCGTGGAGTTTGGACTCCACGCCGTTTATACGCCGTCATGGCGTGTTGCTTAGGTTAGGTGACTCCATGACGTTTCGTACTAAAACTAAAAATGCTGTGGTCGAAACTACTTTGCACAGAAACCACTGATTTAATTTTTTCGTTAATACCGAAGGAGATGAATCTTCTGGCCTCTGGAACATCTTCATTGGCTGTCAATCTGATCGGAACGCAGTGCTGGGCCTAACAAAACGTAGGGAAACAAACAGAAACTGTGCAGAGCGAAGAGTTCCAGGCCAAACATCGTGACGGTTACGTGCACGTGGTCCGCCGTGTTGTACGAAAACTGACGGCGCCCAAGGACAGGGTACACGACGGACCCACTCCGGCATCACGTGGAACATTGTCATAACTGCGTAGAAACACCGAGAACCCAAGAACTGCAGGGAAGAAGCAGCCTCGAAGGCCGGGCGGCCGACGTGTGCGCGCGTTGCTACTTCCGTCGTAAGTCGCTTGCTGTTATATCCACTCCCCCGGCCCCTCAGAAGTCTCGGTGCAGTGGTTAGGATTCCTGCTTCAGACTCAGGGCTGCCAGGTTGCGAATATCACCCCGGAAACCATCGTCGCGTAACGTTTGGAAGCCACCCTGGAGGACGGCTACACACACAGGCCACAAATAGAAAAGAAGTTCTATTATTTAATCTTGACCGCCAGCTGTTTCATAAGTTTGACAAATTGGCTCTCACCGCGGAACTATTCTACCCCTGACAAGTTTTGTGTGGCTAACAAATCTGTGTGAGGGCAAAAAGTGCCCTGCCTGCCTATCCAGGAATTGCTAGAGAGTTCAAGGCCTTCTGTGATCAATGCTGTAGGCCTATAGGAAATACTCAGGAGAAGCAACTGAGGGGCTGAACCCAACTGCTGAGGTCATTTTCCCAGCGGGAGGTTGCACGTCCAGTTTGAAGCTACTACCGTGATAAAACGTGGAGATAACATCTGATATAAAGCCCGGGGGTGAACGCTGGGGGATATAAGCCCTGTAAGCAACTCCCAAAAGGGGACTGCACGAAAGATCTCCTTTGGGGCACCCGAGGGCGAAGGCCAACGTGGTATAAGAACCCTGGTTGCGCGAGACAGTGGACGGTCTGTAGTTTGCCCACTCGGCAGGCCGCGGCCTCGGTGTGCACCAGCTGAAAACTCGACAGACAGACAGACATGGACGGCGTCACAAGGCGTTGTTCGATCACACCTAAAACGTCCTCGCCGATGGTTATCGTACGAGCCTAATACTGAAGAGGTAACTGATATTATCAACGTGCGGAGATAATCAGCACACACGAAGCCCTACGGGTCCATTGAGACATCTCTATTCTTTCAGACAACGCCCTAACAGCGTTACTCTGCTCACGAGAACTTCACGGAGCACGCCCTCCTGGTAAGGGCAGTCGGACGGACACAGATGCTAAGCGAGGGGCGGTTCAGACGAAATAAAACATCGCCCGGTTCTCACCAGCCAACGAACCCTGCCCTCGGGCTCCCCTTCTAAAATTAAGGCAAAGAATTGCACGATTAACGGAATTTTATACGTCCTCATAAACCAGTTCTGAACCCGGATCGGCCTACTTAGTACCAACTAAAAAAAGGTAAAAATTCAGCAAAAAAAACGAATGTGTGAGAGCCCTTTTGGTCCACCCAAATCCAAAACCTCTTTAAAACACGAGTCATAAAAATCCATACTGGGGGTGGAGGGAAGCTCGCAATATGTGGAATGACAGCACAATCGACTGGGGGTGGATTTTCTCTCGTCGTCACTACATCAGCTGACACGGAACCCCGAACTAGGTGCGTCCTCCACGTGGGACGATTCCAAGCGACTAATAAATCCACGAAAAGCCGTGCTTCAAGTCAGACCAAGCGTCTCGCTCACCCGGCAGACGCCAACGCTGATCTACAGGTAGGAACACGTCGCACAAACATCTCTGCCAAGTCCGCTTACAGAGGGTTGTCAGTTCACGTAAATTAAATCAATTAGACAAAATAACGTTGCAGGAATAAGCCCATCTACTTAAAAGTGGCGAAGAACACCAACTCCTCCCATTACAAATAATTACCAATAGCAGTGACGCACATTTGGAGACGCTTAAATCAATTTAATCATCCACACGGAACACAGACCTTCCTGAAATTGTTTAGACCAGCGTTTCCCAACCTATGGCACGCGAGCCACGTACGAAAATCAAAAGATAATATTAACACAAGGAAGTTTTCCCTATATATTTTAAATCTTGTCCGTCTAATCACAATAAATTCTTATTAAATATTAAAATATTACAATAATTAACATTTTAAAATTTTTAAAATATATCAAATGATGTTCTTTATCGAAATATTCGATTTACATTAGACCAACATCATTAGTAAAAAATGATGGTCTAATGTAAATCGAATATTTCGATAAAGAACATGATTTGATATATTTTAAAAATTTTAAAATGTTAATTATTGTAATATTTAATAAGAATTTATTGTGATTAGACGGACAAGATTTAAAATATATATTCATTATATCACAATATGACGCAACTTTACCATCTCAAGTTTTCCCTGAACATTTAATGTGTTAAATTAGAATCAGTGGTATGCCAACAAAAAAGGTTGAGAACCTGTGGTTTAGACCAGTGGTTATCAACCTGGGGTACGCACAAAATGAGTAACATTAAAAATGAAAATAAATGAACATAGTTCAATACGAGTATCTGGAAAGTACACGGTACATACAGTGCACGAGGACAAGACCTTTCCATCCTTTATATGTCAGTGGTAACTATGCTTACCGCCTGTTTCCAAGCTGATCTGTGCGAACGTCGGTCACAGACTCTGTTCATGAGTTGTACTTCATTTTCGGAATACACAAATTGGCTTATCGCAAAGAAGACGTCGAAATACGCTCGAGCGTGACCGTAGTTCAGTTTCCAGTTTCAAATTTTTCCCCTCTGAGAGGACAACGAAGCTCGTAATTCGCCTTAGTATCCAATTCCCGCTGAATTCGGGTCAGCACACATCGAGGGGACTTGGGATCGCATCCTGAGGACGTCAGCATGATCTTCAAGCTTCTTTACCGCCTTCTGTCAAGTCCGCCCGAGACCCACCAAACCTCAATTACACCCCACAGACTCAAGACACCGGATGCCAGCTCCACGTGTGGACCTGACACGTGGTCCGAATCAGTTCGTCACCGCACAAGGGCCTGTCCACGTGTCGTGTGAGGAGACAAGCTTAAAAGAGCCCAAAAACATTTCAGGGACGAATGAGGTCTTCAAATCCTGCAGGTAAATCCCGCTTTTATATAACGCTGAGACCAGCCCCACTGAAAAAACATAGCCCGGGTGGTGGGGGAGGGGGGGTCCACATTCTTGCCTCTTACGAGCTTAACGACGTATTTTAGGGAGAATATTTTTAAGCGGAAACCTCGTCTCATCCACACTGAAAATGAGCTGGGGTCTCTCGGATATCCACTTCTGTGTGCCTTCGTCTCTCCAGTTCCGTCCCGGACATTTTCGTTTGCAAGTCCGTGTTATCTGGAACGTATCATAAAAGAAATATAGCACTGCCACCTTTAAGAATTTACCCAACGAAGCCATTTTTTAAAAGAAATCGTATTTTTTTTAACCTAGCAGAATAATCCCGCCCTTAACGGGCGAAAAACCCCAATGTGTAGGGTTTATCGGAAGAAAACATCGATCATTCGTCTTTGTATAATTAACACGAAAACTGCAAACCAGGAAACAAGGGCCTCACAGCTAACCAACATGTCGGCCGGGCAAACCATCTGACATCTACCCTAACCATAAAACAACAAAATCTCCTACCAAGTTACAAACGTGTGTTGAAGTTTTTACTCAGTTCCCGATCTATCGCTTCGGTTACACTGGCTTGGTATGGATTGGTAAGGTACACTTTTCTGTTCGGGCTAAAACGTTCTGTGTACGTATTCCGGTCCGGACTTCGTCAAACATTTTGGGGCGCACTCAATCGGCAACAGTCAACAGCTGTATCGATCATTCCGACCGCAATCTGTGTAAATACTGCAAGGCGTTCGGCAGGTCCCCACTACGTTCACACCCTTAAGTACAATGCTAACTTCTGTACCACTAGACCACGCACGAGAGGAGAGGAGAATTTCGTTCAAAATGTTGGCCTCGAGACACGAGACCGCCCGGGCACAGACATCAGGTAATATTAAGAAGACATCTTAAGAAACTACGTTATGCAAAAGTAAACAATCCACGTGACTGATGATCGAGACTGGGGAAGGTCCACGTGAACGAGGCAATAAATAAGCCTTGCGGTTTCATAAAAAACGGGACATTACTTGACTAGCTGAGCTACTATCAGCTAGTCAATTGAGGACTGTGTTCCATTACGTTAATCATCTTGTTCAGGAAATTTACATGTTAATAGATGACTCTGTGTGTAGTGGCCTACGTATAATTTTACGAATTTGTTCTGAATAAAAATCTTCTACGTTGAGCCTGTTTCCGGTCGCTTCCGCCGTGTGGAAGGGGGAGTTTCTGAGGAAAATCATGCCTTCGAGCACCTCTCAATTAAGATGGAGGCAGTGTGGTCCTGAAACGTGGCACAACATTAACACGACTCGCCTTAGTTAGAATCAGTTACAGGGGGTTTTAATTCGTAACCAAATGTCGCAGTTTCGTTTTAATCCAGAGCGCTTTCAACACCTCGTTCATGGCCCGAATCGACTCGAACACACAAAAATTACGCAAAATTCGGTGCTTCAATTACGCGTCCTGGGTCTACAAACCGGATGGGCGAGGACCAATCCCGCCTCGGGTTTCGTGGCTCGCATGTTGCAGACACATGTAACGCCGTGCATTCTGTTACATCTGTGCGGGGGAGGACAAGCCGAGACACGCGTCAACATGGTGCTCTTACCTTCCTCTCCAGGCTCGGCCCGTTCTCCATGGCGTACATTATTGCTTCGGAAATTCTGGTGTCTAGAGATCGTATGACCTCCTCGACGTTGAGCACAACTGTAGGAGCTGGGTCGTGACCCCTGACCGCAACCACCAGTCGCTCGGTAGCTTCAACAAATCCATTCCAGGGGAGGTCAAGTTCGGAGGCGTGTTGCGTGAGACATCCCCTCAACACGTTGAGGCAGTATCCCGAGCAGGGTTTCAACCCCGGACGCGTCAGCCCCTGACACATGGGGCAGTACGACATGCGCAGGAGGGCCGTGTGACACTCGCTCCACTGGGCGCCTCTGGCATCGATGGAGTCTGTCATCAGCAACGTGTCCGTGTTGTTGAGAACCTCGGCGCCCAGGTTCAGCGCCTGCAACAGGACTCTGGTGGCCTCCATCGTCTTGCTAATCCCCTGAGCTGCTTGTCGCGGTACGTCGCCGAAGGGCTGGATCTCCGACATGGTGGCTCTCAGGCACGATTTATAATCGTTGGAAAAATCGCGCAGATGTGGGTTCACGGCGTGGTGATACACCAGAGGAAACAGACTGGTGAAGAACGACGTCACAGATTCCTCGAGGTTTAAATCTGCCGTCACGAGGGTAACGGAAGGAGACGAAGTGGCTACTGCGGATGGCTGTTCTGCGTCTGGTTCCCTGTCATGACCGCTCTCCTTGTCGGCGTTCAGGTAACCAATCAGGTCGGAATACAAGGACGCGATTGGTTCTCTTGCGAGTATGGCCATACGTTGGTACACCTGACTAAATAGCGTCATTGTTTTGTTTTCTGATTGTCTTGCTAGCTCTGCCACGTGATCTGAAACACACAAACAAAATGCATATAAATATCATGTCAGATACCGTCAATCGGGAGACCTATTCGTCGGTGATAAGATAATATTAAAACGGATCTAAATATATGCGAGTGTGGAGTGGTCTTATCTGGCTCAGAACACGATCCAGATAAAATTCTAACGAACCTTCGGGGTTCTACAAAATACGTAGAAGTGCTGGAAGAGAACAATTAGCCCCCCATTTCATTCAGTTCAAATTTCTGAAACAGGACACAAGGCGTCGGAGGGCCCGAGTCAGAAAATGGAAATTTTTCACAAAGGTTGCCGCTGGCCACTGAAATATGCCAGCCCGTCCCAAATAATTACGGCCGATTAAAGATGGCGTTCGCGTACGAAAGACTGCGAGCAGAGTGCAGCGCCATGAACTTTTAAGTAAGTGATTCCAATTGTCCCGGCTCTTACGTAACTGGATTTGAAGACGTCACTTGTTGTGATAAATTAACAACCATTTCACTGCCTTTGTTATGAGTTACGCTGATCTTTGCATTCCTTAATACACTCAGATCTATTAATAACGAGGCACACATACTTTGTTCGTCCATGACGACCAATCAGCACAAGCACGGTATCAGACCTAACCCATCCACCGCATGCCCAATCTTGCGTTAAATTACACAAATTTAACATTCTAGATACAGCACTATATCCTGAGGATAAGAGACGGAAGGAACATCGCGTGTGAGCAAACAAACAATAAAAAAATAAACGTATAATTTCAATGTAACTAGAGCTTTCGGAGCTCCTCGGAGGGGTTGCCAAGTTTATTAATATTAGTATTATCCAAATCGTGTCCAGTTTAGTAACTTATGCGAAGTTCTCTGTGGCAGTCTACGACAAACTTGGAGAAGACCACCACTTTTTTTTGTCAGAAACAATAAAAGAGACATTCAAGATGAAATTAACAAAACCACGTTTCAGTTAAGACCGAGGGGTTAGAGTCGCGTGCGATATTTCACGTGTATTAGAGCCGTAAGACCTGATTATTTCCGAAGACCCGAAATTCTTGAGTGTTGGTGGCGTCGTGAGTTATTGTACCACGTGGCACGACATGCCCTGGGCGGTTTCTTCGCAGTCATGGACACTTTTCTAAGATAAAAATTCTACAGTTTCTACGATAAATTTTACGTTCAAGTCTCAAACAAATATTTTGTAAACTATTTCTTCTCCTAAGCAACGAATTCACGGCTTGTACGCGGAAGACACGCGATCATTTGGGCGTGTGACTTTGCGCGACTCACTGCCTACAAGATGCAGATCCCAAGAAAATATGTGTTTCTCGGCATGGAGTATGATAGCAAAGGAGGAGGATGCTGGTTAGCTCTGTCAAAAACACAAGTCGAGGGTCCACGAAGTCCACTGTCGACTCTTGATGAATTCTGTCAGAAGCCGGTTTGCATCTGAAGCAGTTCGCACGGACTGCACACAATACGACGACTTCCGAAGACGCCGACAATCACATCGTCGCGTAGAACGGAGGAAGGCGCTTAAAAACCGAGTTGCGTCACGCGGTTACAAGAAACTCGTCCGATACTCACCAAAACACACAATTAAATATTATAATTAGATGCCCGCCGTAAAAAAACACCAGCAGTCGCTTCGCGCGTGGCACACTCAAGCGGAAGTGGGCCTACTTCTTACTGTAAAATTGCCAATATTCAGAAATATGACCGGAAGTTGCTATAAATTAAAGTGGAAAGAACAGAACGCGAGATTCTCCCTGGAACGTTTCCAGAAGATGTGAGAAATCAACGTCAGTTGCCAAATTCGTGGGAAACCACGAAGCGATTCCACGTACCAGCACATTTCGGCAAAAAAACAACAACAGAATCTTCGGGTTTTAAGCGATAATTTTAATTACACGATAATACACCAACTGGGGAAGTTATTTGGTACGGAATGACACGAGCGGAACACTGCGAACAATGAACTGCAAAGGATTTGGTAGGAAATGGTCCCGGGCCTCTATAATATTTTTCCTTCAGAAACTAAGAAAAACCACGAACTTGCTACGATACCTGTTTCCCCAGGATGAGGTTCGAACCCAGCACCTTCCAGATACAAGTCACTCACATTAAAAGAATCCATTTCTGCACACACAGGGAGGCCAACTTCAAAATGTACACGATGTCACAATTAATAAATTCGAACTGGAGAACAGCTGGTCGGATTTCTATAAAATTTGGTACAGGCGTCATGTAATTGGAGGCTACTCCATACTTCTAACTTCTACGTTCTCACAATCGATAACACCAACATGGTGGACGGCCGAAACTGTGACGTGTGCCCGGCAATATCGCTACTCAGCCAATTACAGGGTCATTCAATGATCTTCGAAAAATACGGAACTCCGACAGGGCAGGCCTACAACAACACGGCGACCACATGGAACAATTAGATATCCTGACTTGGACAGGATCCGACCCTATAACCAAAGCGCATTTATCCAACACGCTACCTCAGAGCTGATTCGTATGACAATTAATTCATCGCTTAAAAATATACGTAGTAACCACAATTTAGATTTATGAGATTAGAAATTAAAGTCATGAACAATATAAGGCGTTCGGATATCTTTTCAAAAAATGTATTCTTTGAAATTACGAGAAAAAGAGACATTTAAACAAGGTTATACAGAGTGATTCAAAAGGTTAGGGTCAAACTGAAGGAGGGACTCAGAGAGAACAACTTTCGAATAGGAATCCATGTCCTCCGACGTTATCCTGAGTCAGTCGAGGCCACTTAAGGTACTGAAGTCTCACAACATATCGCTGAAATAGTCGTACTTTGCTATTCTCCTACTAGGTTAATTTTGTTGTTTGTTAATGTACAAGGATTACATTAGCAATCTTACAAACCAAATTATTTCAGCGGTATGTTATCAGAGTTCCCTACATTCAATGGCCTCGACAGACTCAGGATAACGTCGGAGGACATGGATTCCTATTCGAATGTCGTTCTCTCTGAGTCCCTAACCTTTTGAATCATCCTGTATAATATGCAACATGTCTAGACAGAGTCAAAGTCAATGCCCTGTGTTTACTCAAAGGTTTTCAGTCATAAATTGACCAGCGATGAAATACATTTTGGTGATACTACAACGTGACTTGGACTGCAAGTAGCGCCAGTTTCTGTTGCGAATAAGCGGATAAGTAAGAAAACATTCAATGGAGAAATCCCATGTTTCTGCGTCGACTGCGGGCGATTATGACGGCAACTTACGTGGTGTTTTCTTACGTGAGGTAGAAGACGCAAGTGCGCCCCATACGGACTGCAGACCTTTCCAGTTTTCTATGTTTACGAAAGTCGTTTTCCACAGCAGCGCTGACAAATGAAGCACGATTTCCGTGTCAGAATCGAATGGATCCGACGTTTCGGTTCTGACCGGGCCAGGTGCTGCTATCTAGTTCACACGGCCGGGCCTTCTGGCGCTCTGGAAGAAGTGACGTCCGTCCGTCCGTCCGTCTGTCCACTCGCAAGAAAAGGAATTCGCACTCTTTGGTGCGTCTTGTGCCGACAAACTTGTGGACTTGGCATTCTGCCGCTGGAGTGAGAGGAAGTGCCTGGCGACGATTCTTGGAGGCGGTGCGGGGGCCAAGAGGGGGGCGGTTTAAGTGTACCAGGAACATGTAAACGATACAAACATCGGTAAGAACGCGAGGAACATCGTCACGCCTGTGACCGAGCAACCAGCACTACGGACGCCGGCCTCAATGCGATCTGGAACACGCGTACAGCCAAGTACATAATTCGTGGCAACAAAACTTGGGCACGTAAGAAGCCAATCACAAGGGTAAAACGGGGTCCTGAGTCGAACCCATCCACCTGACGGCCTCACAACCTGTTCTCTCGACAATCAACTTATCTACAGTTCCTCAGAAGCCCAAAAAAAATTCAAACTAAAAAAAAAGACCCACCACGGCAAACAAAGCTTGTGTCAAAATTAGTGGTCACAATTCTGAGAAATTAGAAGACTTTCCATTGTATCGCAGCTTGAAATGAGATCGTAATGAAACAGATGTTTTGCGACAGGAAATATTCTGACTGCGATGTTACCCTGAAGCAGAACCTACGTCAGTGAAGACTTTTTTTTAGTCGCTGGAATTAAATAAAAAAAACTATAAAAGCCATTAATTGTAAAATAGTAATTTTTCCAGGCGCATGAAACAAGGATCGCGTACTGATGGCTCCGTCACCACAGTGACTAGGCGACAGGGGTTCGATTCCTGGCGGAGGGCAAGAGATTCTTCTCTCCGCTGACGCGCCCAGGATCAGGCCTCTTTCACCCGGGATAATTCGGACCTTCGTCTAGTGCAGAAGTTAACACAGAGTGGAGCTAAACCTCCACACCACACACGCCTTTATGACGAGGGGTAACTTCAACCTCGTATCGACGACGATAAAACCCGGAGCACGCGTTACGGAACACCGGACCAACCGCCGTTACCCAGTGATTGGCTACGCTTTTATTTATGTATCCAGCAAACAAGACCAAAGAAATTTAACGAGGCAACGCCGGTTCAATGACTGAACGAATGGCGTAGGAGTAACACAAAGAAACGTAAGCGAGGTAAATGACAACTCAAGACGAAATTAGGAACACGTAACGTAACTTATTATAACACCGGAGGCAACATTCAGATGTAGCTTTTGTAACCACTGCCAGGAATTACAAGACTCGACCAAAAAAGGAATGTCCAAAAAAAGAGGATCTGACGGAGGACTTCGACGCTGTTTTTGGCTGTCAAAAGTGCGGACACTTTTGGCTAACCCTCAGTCTAGACCAGCGGTATTCAACCTGGGGTACGCGAAGACGTCTTAGGGGGTTCGTGAAATTTTAAAAAAATATATTATTTTATGATAAACACTGAATAATCAGTAATGTAATTTATTTAATTCATTTTAGATGTAGATTATATACTAAGTATAACTTGAATTATACACCAACAACTTTGGAGGTACAAAG